TGGTAATATACCTAGCTTGTGCAGAAATAATACGTTTATTGGTAACTTTGGTAACTTCCAAGACACTTGGAGCTTAAAACAAAGAAGAACTCAGCCAAATGTCACTATTTATTTATTTATTTATGAGACTTATATACCGCTTTAAGTGCAAGCACTCTCTAAGCGGTGTACACCAGTAAGCAATGTATATATATATATTTACATTGCCCCCAACAATCTGGGTCCTCATTTTACCTACCCCGGAAGGATGGAAGGCTGAGTCAACCTTGAGCCGGTGAGATTTGAACCGCTGACCTGCTGAACACAGTCAGCTAAAGTGGCCTGCAGTACTGCACTGTAACTGCTGCGCCACCTCAGCTCTACTACCTCTTACATATTGCTTTTCATTAAAAGTAGATTATTCTGAATTAGCTCGGGAGTTTAAATGTGACAGAAATGTCATTTTATTGCCTGGGTTTTCACCGAGGAGCCTGGAAAACAGGATAAGTTGGTTAGCTGAGGTTTTTTTTTTTTTTTAAATTGTGTCTACAGCATGGAAAGCGCCATTGTGACCAGAGGTGGTATATATCAAGAGAAGTTCTAATTGCATTTTAACAATAAGAATGTATATACCTTTGCTTTTATTGCCTTTTAAAAACACCATTGGCTATGCATGGTTGCAGATGACTTTCTTCTATTGTGGCCACCACTTGTTAATTTACCTGGGTCTGCATTTTCCAGATGGGGTAATTTTGTTAATCTTGTTATAGTGAATACATTATTTACCTACAGACCAAACCATCTAGTGGTCCTTGACAGAGTATTAGATTTGTTTTGGCACACAACTAGAAGCTTGTATTCAGAGGCTGTATGTGCCTGAAAGTGGTGCAGTGAAGAATATTTCTTCCCCTTTCTGTTTGGCTTTAGCATTTCCAAAGGCTCCCTTTGTGTTCGGCTTTCCAAAGCAATACAGTTGATCTCTCTTGGTTCATAGTATTGATCTAACCCAAGTGGAGCCTTTAGGGAAGGATAATTCAATGCAAGAACATCCCCTTGGAATGAAAATAAAAACTGAATAAGAAACAAGTAACTCTTGGCCAACATATCTAGGAGCCTAAAAATTATGCCAGGCCAGATCTAGTCAGCACCTGGATGAGATCACTTTAGGGAATAGCAGGGATGTAAACTAGACTAGGAAGAACGTCAAGAAAATCTTCATGGTTGTGGCCAGGAAATCAGGAATTGAGCTCGACTCAAATGGAACTGCAGTGAGAAAAAAAAAATCTAGACAGAGATGGTAGAAAAGAGAACTTTGCTCTAGGACAGGAGGGTCAAACTCGCCACGTCACGTGATTTGTCACGACGTATCACAACTTTTTCCCCATTGCCAGAGGTGGGGTGGGCGTGGTTTTGGCATGACGCATTTGGCCTGTGGGCCGGCAATTGGACACCCCTGCTCTAGGAGCTCATCCTTCAGTATTATCTCACTTACATTTGTTGGGCAAGAAAGGGAAATCTGGAGTCAGTCTCATAACTGACTTTATGTTTTGAACTAAGATAATGTCATTGCTTACAGCAGTGGTTCTCAACCTTTTTAATGCCGCGACCCCCAACCGGTCATAAGTCGAGGACTACTCAACCGGTCGTAAGTCGAGGACTACTCAACTGGTGCAGCACCGTTTGCAGAATGGGACTTTTGGCGGGCTCAGCAGGGCAGAGAGAGCCTGGACAATTCCTATTGACTTTTGAAAGCCAATAGAATTAGACTCTATTCAAGAGAGTCCATTCTGTTGGCTTTCAAAAGCCAATAGAATAAAAGGGAGTAGCACAGCTAAGGAAAAGGGGGAAAAAATGGCGGACTGCGTTGTTTGGCGACCCCCGTGAAATGGTCCTTCGACCCCAAATGGGGTCCCGACCCACAGGTTGAGAACCACTGGCTTACAGAGATGGGAAGATTAGCCCTGTTCTTTCTGAGGATCTGCAGAACGGATAATTCTCCACCAAATGTGTGAGTTGAGGAATGTATTGGACCACTTTTCTGCATTTCAAGAAGGAAAAGTCTCTTAACAACCTCCGAAGGGCAGGGTTTCCGTTTTGTGGAGACACTGCAAGGGCCTTGCTGTTGAAAGGGATCCAAATGGAAGGGATTTCCCCCATAATGCCTTCCCTTGGAATTTTACTGAAATTTTAAAAAAATACTGTGTGGTTTAACACAGAGGTCCCCAACCTTTTGGGCAGTAGGGAACAGTTCCATGGAGAAAGATTTTTCCATGGACTGGAGAGTGCGTGGTTTTGTGTACTGCCTGCATCCCACGGATGGGGCTTTGCTTGTTTGTGCAGAGCGGTTGCTGGCATGCGCAGCCCGGTCCATAGACCGGGGGCTGGGGACTCTGATTTAACAGATGATATTTAAAGGCAAGGACATTCATTTAGATCCTTTACCTACCTTGTCAGGAAAGGGGTAAGAAAAGTATTTTCCAGCCACCTGGATTTCATAAACTTTATCTACTGGTTTGATAGAATTTCCAAAGCCAGTTGTCTTCCAAGTATTGTTTTTGGTCTTGCTACTGGTGACGTGGAAAGTTCTGAAGTACTCTCCTTTCCCTTCTCTCCAGCATTATCTGCTGTGATTTCCAGCTTTGAGTTTCCAAAGCATTCAACATTTTTGGAAAGGGCTAATAAAGCCCTAATGAAGACCTCATTCTCTTTTCCAGATACATTTTTCTCCCCCCGCCTCCACCCCCGTGTTGCCTCTGGGCTGGACTTTGTGGGTGTTACTACAGCTGCACATGCTGGTAATGATCCTTATACAACACATTTCTGGTCTGCTATGCTCCCTGGAGGATCTTGTGAGCTTCACTTGAACTGGGTCTGTTTTATGAGTGATTTAATGTGGTGTAAGCAATCTGCGTACATTGTGTATGAGTGTCCAAGAATGAGACAGAACGCGCTACTGCTGTTGATACCACATTATTTTATTAGAGTTTCAAAGCTGATATTAAGTGGACATGATTTCTTCTTATGGACCATTAATTTTACTTTATTGCTGGCCTGATGGCCGTTACCCTCCTCTTCTTACCAATACATTCCTCCATTAAGCTTGTACAATTAACAAAATATGAACTGTTTAAGGCATTGCTTTGAACAATGGGTCAGTGCAAAATAGGGCTGGGAGTGTGCATGGGGCTGTATAGGAACAATTTGTGGTAATGGGGGGCTGAGGAGTGGAAGGAAGTAAAAAAAAGAGAAGATTTTTAAGCCCTGGAAGATTATGAGCTGTTTCACATGAGTTATTTTGTAGTAAAGGACAGATATATTTGTAGTTTCCAGTTGGGTAACCATGCACAAACATAAAAAAAAAAGAAATTCCCGTGATTTATCTAATAAATTAATCATATAAATGGCTAGCTTGTTAACCAGATACTTCTAATATTGTTGCATATGATTCAAATAGCTTTAGTTTGAGAAAAATGTGTGAAAGCAATGTGGAGAGACACATCACAAGAGTTATTTTTTATATATATGGATGGAGAAAAAGGAGTTATAACCTAAAGCTCCTTTTTCTGTTTTCTTTATTTCTTTATATAATTCTCCAAATCACATAAAAATAATTTTAACCTAGCAAAGCTTTAAAATTCTACACATTTTTGTAGGTATGTTTTCTATAATTCAGTACTTCTGTACATAGCTTCACTTACATATTTAAGTGAACATTTATTCTTCAAAAAAAATTGTCCTTTAATAGATATTTCCCTGATTATCTTCTTCATTATATCATTTTCCATTATGCACTTTTGTAAATTGACATTTTTCAGATATAAGCACACTTTCTTTTTACATCACTACATAGCTGTAGCACTTAGACTTATATGACGCTTCATAATCTTTAAAGCACTATCAGGGGTGTCAAACTGCCGGCTCATGGGCCAGATACATCACAAGGAAACTGTGCCCACCCCATTGTCAGCAATGGGGAAAAGCTCCGATACAGTGTGCGACGTCACGTGACGTCACAAGTTTGACATGTCTGCTCTAAGGGGTTTACAACATCAGCATATTGCCCCCAACAATCTGGATCCCCATTTTACCAACCTCGGAAGGATGGAAGGCTGAGTCAACCATGAGCTAGTCAGGATTGAACTCCTGGCTGTGGGCAGAGTCAGCCTGCAATACTGCATTCTAACCACTGCAACCACCATACTTGACATCTTTCAATGTGTAACTTTCATAAATGTATTTATTCTTGAGTGCATTGATCATACACATTATTGTGGAAGTTTTGAGCTGAGAAAGATGGATGTTAGTTATACCCCTCAGTGCTGAAGCAGAGACTATATAAACTATTACATTTATCCATTTCTAAAGAAATTGATTAGACATTTTTTTAAATATGTCTTATCAGCACTATTGCTGACAGAAAGTTTGAACAGAGCTTTGGCTGACTTGAATCTTAGTGTTCTTCTCACTGTACCATATTTGGGGATTTTAATTTAATGGTGAGAATCCTCAGATCAAATGATGTAAAATAGTATAAAACCTTTATAGACTAAAGTCAGTCGTAAAACAAAAATTCCAGTGCACCAAATGCAGCTGTAAAACTGGGTTTCCTTTCAAAGCAATTGTGACAAGAAATCAAATAAAAGAACCCAATTAATGAAGAAATGCAGTTTAAATAAACAATAGGTGCTTTTGAAGTGAAAGCTTGATGCACTTGTTGTTCTAATGATTTATTACTCCCATCTTAAAAGACTATTCAATGTTAGGCAGGATTCTAATCTTTTGGTTAAATCTCCTTGCTACTTCAACACTCAGTCCCATATCCTTTAGCCTTTCAGAGAATTCCCTACCCTTCATAAATTAGTTTCTGATGTAGTTATGTGTTTGAATTTTCACAATTCTGATCACGTATTGACTTTCCATCTTTGGATTTGTTCTTTTCCTTTTCCAACACGTTCAACGTTGCTCCATTTTTGCTGAGATTGTGGCCCCTTTTAACACAAGGCTCTTTGTTGTATTCACAGATGCTTACTAGAGTTGGATCCTGATGCTTCTGCCTTTCAAGCTGGTAAGTGAAAATTGTTGTTAAATTGTCCTGAGCTTGGAAGTTAAAAATTATACCAGATATGTGATGTTTGTGCCACTCTACAAGGGATCTTACAAGGGACATCCTTACCGGTTTAAAGCTTAATGAAATTACTAAAATATGCTCAAGTAGGATGAAAGAAAAGCTAATATGGAATCTGTTTCTTTAGTTAAGACTTCCTTTGCACCAAACTACAGTGTGCAGAATGTCTCCATGTTTGAGCTTTGCATCCCTGTGGAATTGTGGAAAATGTGTAGTTCATACTAACAACAACAACAACAACAACAACAACAAAAAGCTGAGAAAGCTAAAAGCCTGCATTTAGTTTTATTTCTTCACCACCTTTGTAAAAAAGGCCAAATGAATTCTTCCTTTTTAAAGTAGTAGACATTGCTGATGGTTTACAGAGTCAGCCCATTTTCCCCAACAATCTAGGTTCTTATTTTACAGGACCTTGGAAGGGTGGAAGGCAGAATTAACCTTGAGCCCGTCAGGATCGAACTCCTGGCTGTGGGCAGAGTTAATCTGCAGTACTGCACTTTAACTACCAGGGCTTCTGTATATTGTATTAAAGCTTAAGTTGAACTGTATGTTCATTTTTCAGCACTCTTTGACGCTCTGAAAGAAAGAGAAGTCTTGAAATTTCAGGACAGAGAAAGACATTTCAGAAATGTGGTGAGGTTTGGGACAATCTATGGCAGACATGTCAAACACAAGGCCCGGGGGCTGGATGCAGCCCGCGAAGCGGTTTCATGTGGCCCACGAAGCCATCCTGGAAACAGTGAGGGAACGCCCCCCTCTGCCTTGGACCTGGCCCAGGCCAGCTGGGAGCCAATGTACAATTTTGTGGTGGCCATCTATGCTGAAACACATTCAGTCTTAGCTCCATAAGCCCCTTCCCCGCATGGCCTGAGAGGAACAATGAGGCTTCTCCAGTGGACCATGCCTTGGCACTTGCCCTGGTCCCAACCCCTTCTGCCAGAGACCCTCAGATCTATCCCACTCCTGCCCAGGCCCCCACAGGCATCCTTGACACGAACGATGTAGAGCTGGCCATACCCACCCAGTAGGCCACACCCACTCCATCCATGCCCACCCAGTAGGCTGCACCCACCCTGGCCACACCCACCTGGCCCCCTGAGGGCAACCACAATGCTGATGCGGCCCTAAATGAAATTGAGTTTGACACCCCTGATCTATGGCAACCTAATAGCCCCATTCCCCTTCTCTAACAGTCAGTCTTGGACTGATGTATTGTCTTGTCATAGAACAGTGCTTCTCAGCCTTGCCAACTTTAAGATGTCTGGACTTCAACTTCCAGAATTCCCCAGCCAGCATGTTGGCTCAACTCGGGAATTCTGGGAGTTGAAGTCCAGACATCTTAAAGTTGGCAAGGTTGAGAAACACTGCCACAGAATGATTCCATGACATCTTCAAGGCATTAATAAAAGCGTGGTACATTCCAGAGGAAAAAGGAGACACAAAATTCCTGTGCAATATTTGCATACAAAAATGCCAGGTTTCGTCCCAGCACCTATAGGTGGGGCTGGAAACACCTGGAACTGGAACCACTGCTAGTCACTGTCACTAACATTAGCTTCAATATAACTAAAATCTGAATCAGTATACCGATAGTCCTTGACTTATAAACAGGATTTGAATGACTTACATTGCTAAGTAAGGCCATTTTTATGTAAGTCATGTCCACAGATGTTTAAGAAATCACTGCAGTTGTTAAACGACTCAGGAGGTCGTTAAGCAAATTCAGCTTGCCCCCATTGACTTGGCTGGATGTGAAAGTCAGCAAATGGTGATCACATGAGCCTGGGACAGAGCAACTGTTGTAAATGCAGGTCGCATCCGAATTGATCACATGACCCTGGAGTTATTGCAATGGTCATAAGTGTGAAGACTGCTTGTAAATTACTTTTTTCAGTGCGTGTTGTATCTGGTTGCTAAAAGAAAGGCTAGAAGTAAAGCCTACAGAGCAGTTTTCTTTGTTCTTCTATTCCTGTTTTATTCTTACAAGCCAAATCCAGCCAGATTTCTGCTCAAATTATGACTGTGGAGTTATGTTCATTTATTGTTCATCTGTTAGTCGCAGCTAAAATTTTATGAGAAGGAAGAGACTGGCAAAAGATTCTGTCCTCCCACATAGAAGGAATGGTAATCAAAATGTTTAGATCTTATGGAAACAGTGAAACAATCTTAGGAATGCTATTAAAAGAACGATAATGCATTTTAGCAGATAAGTGAGCTATCAATTACTGGTTATTTTTTTGCAGACATGGAAGATCTGTTCACAGTATACTTTTGTTCTCAGAGTTTATAAAATATTTTAGATTCAAGTTATTTCACTTCTATGAATGTCTGTCACATCATAAGACATTGATGTGTCTGATTGATCCTGGCATCCGAAAAGTGACTGTATTGCAGTTCAAAAAATTGCAGTTTTTTTTTTTTAAAAAAAGCCAGGATTAGACTTTCAGGAAATGTTAAGGAGGAGAGGCAAGCCTCAAAATTCTTCGAATTCTCTGAAAGCTTTAAAAATGTAAGCGTTTGCTTAGAGAGAGCTATGCACTCAGTGGCATTCTGCCTTCTAAGAATTTTTCACGTCGAATTTCTCTATCCCAGTTACAGTACCATCCCAAATTGTCTGTGGTGATTCTCAATCATCCAGGTGATGTTTGTCCCAAAAGTGTTTTTCCAAAAGGCAACTGGACTTTCTTGGTTTTTTTGCTTGAAACTGTTTTGCTTCTCATCTAAGAAGCTTTTTCAGTTAGATACTTCTTGGATAAGAAGTGAAACGTTTTCAAGCAACCCCTCCACCCCCCCCCCAAAAAAAAGTCCAGTTGCCTTTTGGAAAAGCATTTTGGGGACTATCACAAAGGACTTCACAGAATAAGTGGGGATCCCTTCAGGAAATCGTTCAGATGAGAAACATTGAAAGGTATGCACTGGTAGTAAAAGTTATTCTTGTGTATGGACAGGTCTGTGTGCATAATGGCCAGGTTATTCCTATACTTCTAGCTTTATTGGAAGTACTAGTACCGTTTTACAAAGCCCCAGTAAGACCACACCTGGAATACTGCAGCCAGTGTTGGTCACTGTATCACAAAAAAGATGTTGAGAGTTTGGAAAAAATTCAGAGAAGAGCAACTAAGATGATCAAAGGCCTGGAGACTAAAACCTATACGAAGAACGGCTGCGGGACTTGGGTTTGGCTAGTCTAAAGAAAAGAAGAAACGGGTGAGATGATAGCAGTTATTCCAGTCTCTGAGGGGCTACCACCAAGAAGAGGGGGTCACGTTATTCACCAAAGCTCCAGAGGACAGGACAAGAAACAATGGTTGGAAACTGGTCAAAGAGAGAAGCAATCTGGAATTCAGGAGAAACTTCCTGACAGAGAAACTGTCAGAAGAGGCTAGACAATCACCTGTCTGAGATGGTATAGGTTCTGCTGCTTGAGCAGGGGGCTGGACTAGAAGACCTCCAAGGTCCTTTCCAGCTCTATTCTATTCTATTCTATTCTATTCTATTCTATTCTATTCTATTCTATTCTATTCTATTCTATTCTATTCTATTCTATTCTATTCTATTCTATTCCACTGAACAGTTTTGCAGACACCATGGCTATTGCAGGAAGCACCACAGGAAGAGTCCTACCTTCAGAGTATCTGGTGCTGCTATTTGGGGACCTTGTAAATTTTAGAATGTCAATGCAACTTCATCCATGGATGGTTTTTATAACAAGGATGGATAGATCCACCATCAATAAAACTCCACCTTAGCTACTGGGGATCTTTGCAGCAGACTTCTTTTAATCCTTACCGTGGAGAATATTCTTTGCTTTCCTTTTATGTCACTCGGCTTGCTATGCTTGGCTTTTGATTGGCTTGGTTTCTTTTCCTTCCTCTCTTCAGAAGCGTTGATAGCCATTCTGTTTGCATGAGCCTTTCCTGTTTTTGAACCTTTGTTATTGATCTGGGAAGCTCAACACGCATTACCCTGGAAGCTTGATAACCAGATCTGCATTCCATCCCATTGGGGGGACGAACAAAAAAGAGCTCCATATGTTTCACCAGCTGTTTAGCAAAAAAAAAAAAACCGCCTCTTGCTTTCATTATGAAGCTAACCCCTTTGATCATCCCCTTGGAACCTAGATGTCAAAGGTCAGGACAGATATAAAGACTCTGAGATGGACCAAATGTTAGGAGTGGGACCAACGTAGCAAAGAGGAGTCTTTGCAATGCTGCATTTGGTAATGTATAATTAAAGCATTTCCTTGGACTTTCTTTTGGCTGTGCATTTCAATGCATCACGAGGGTTGAACTGGGTTTCCACATTCAAACTGCATGAGAGGATGGAACCAAGTCAACGCAAGTATTTATCTTTCCCTCTCTCTTCTATGGAGCTTGGTATATATATGTAGGTCTTTGGTTATTCGGGTTTTCTCCCGCATCAAATTGGAAGTGTCTTGGCGACGTTTCGACGAAGTCTCATTCGTCATCTTCAGGCTGGTGTCTTTGGCTTTGTGGTTCTAGGAGCAATGTGTGATCGTAGCTGTTTCTTCCTTTTAAAAGATTTTAAAAGATTTTTAAAAGATTCCTTTTAAAAGATTCCCTAAATCTTTTCTCTAACCATTGATAAAATAGGTCCCAAGTTTGAAAATGTTCTTCTTTTTCTTTCAACCTTAAAGTAAGTCTGTCCATTTCCGCACAGTCTAGTATTTTTTTTTTAATTATTTCGTCTTCTGCTGGTGTTTCTTCATTCCTCCAGTATTGTGCAAATATAATTCTTGCCGCTGTTATTGCATGTAAAATCAAATACGTACTTTGCTTATCATGTTTTTCTGGCATTATACCTAGTTTAAAAAAAAGCAGGTTTATAGTCTATGTGTTTCTCTAACATTTTTAATAGCCAAGTCCAATATCTCCTTGCTTTAACACATGTCCACCACATATGATAATAAGTACCTGGTT